TTATGTTACCTTGTATTTACTAGATTTACATACAAATAATAATGATAAATGATGATAAAATAAAAAGCTTGTGTTTTGTTTGTAAATTGCTTATTTTTTCATTACATTGAAATTGTGGATTCTATCAAACATTTTTCTACAGGATGTATGTACTGTATTTTTTTAATGTGGCAGTCTTTGAAGCATATCAACTGTGCAAAAAGAGGGCTAAATGTACTCAATGTTAACAGTAAATGCTGTTTTATTATGTCGATATTCCACACTAAAAAATGTGAGGGTCAGGGAATTTGGACAAAGTTGGTCAGGGAAAATCAGGGAAAGTCAGGGAATTCAAAACAAAAATTTGAGTAGGAACCCTGTATCTGTTGTGTTGTTTAATTCACTAAGTCCCATATCATATATTATGTAGTACATATAGATTTGATCTTACCATTTTTATAAGTATGTAATTTGTCAGATTACAAGGTACTCCTTTTCAAAAAAGTTTCGGACTACAAGAGGCCAGTGGCAGTATTCTATAGTCTGACAAATTTGATCATCCAACACCACCTTTTAAAAGATTTGTTGGATTGCTGTTGGTCTACTGTATTCATATTCTTTATATTGAAATTTAATTTTATTGTGCAAATTGTAGATGTGGTATAAGAATTTTGTACTTAAATAAATTTAATTAGTAAAACTGAAGAATTAGTGGAAAAAATAATTTTTTAAATATGATGATTTAAACATGAATTATCTTATATTAAAGATATTAATATTTGTTTTAAATTTAATGAAATTCAATATTAAATTAAAATTTTTCCAATAAAAAAATATGTGTAGTTGAATGTTTTCTATTCACCAATTCAAAATTTTGTATGTCTTTATTCATTTTATACTTTATTAATACAAAAATTAGATGAAATATAATTTTATTTTCAATTACAGCAATTATGCATATTTTCAGTTCTTTAACACTGTTTACTTTTGATTAATACATAATGTTTTTCTCATATGTCCACAAGAAAAAGCCTAGTGGCATGATACCTGGAGAGTAAGGTGCATGTATTAGGTATATTAACTACAAAAAAAAAAACTTTGAAATAAGTTCTGAAATCATGCCATGGAATAGAAATATGTTCCTATTCCATATATTTTTTTAGAAACTTTTAAAACATGTCCAGCTCTTTTGGGACAATCTGTATTATGATGTATTTTATATGTATATATAAAAGACATAAATTTGGTACAATTAATAAACATCAATCATATAACATAAGTTTATAAAAACATAACATTAGTACACATCCACAAGAGCTCTCTTCATAACATGTAAGATATCAAGTTTGTAGTTGATTTCTTTTGATCTATATTGTGTAAGTGAACTAAAGCAACTGTTTTAAGAACAATGTTGTTTTGTTTAAATTCCTAAATTTTGACAGTGTCTACAGTATAAATGTATAACAAACACTTAAAGGAAAAACATACTTTTTATCGACATTTTTTATTACTATGACTTAAAAAATACACTAATTCATTATTCATACAGTAGGCCTAATTCGTTAAAAATACAGAACAGAACAACAGAATAAACTATTTTGTTGTTGTATTGTTTTGCTCTATATTTTTAATTGATTTGATCAATAGGCCAGGGAAATCTTATTAGATAATTGTTTTAATACCAGTTGTAAAAATTTATAATTAGCACAAAAAATAGCTATAGCATCCAGCATTTTTGCATTCTGTGTTTGCCATTTTCTTCTTTATGTAATTGTAAATAATAATAATATTTATGATATTGTACAAAGAATCATATCAAAAACTATTTTATTTTATGACTATACTTATTACACACTTTATTCTTAATACATGATGCATTTTATCCTAGCAATGATAATAGTTATTATCATCATCGTTGAGTTTGAAAACATGAATCAATGATCAAGATTAAAATTTGTTTTTATGCTGCTTGTTAAAGCAATTGAAATACAAAACAAAATATTCAATATCATTCTTTTTGCAATTCTGCACAATTCCAAAGAAATTCGTCTGAAGTAATGAAAGTATCTGGAATATTAAATACTCATTTAATGACTTCTATTTTGATTCTTAACATTATTATATGATGATTTTTAGGTGTTTTTTCTGATGTTAAGTCAGTTTCAGATTAATTTTAATGATTGTATATACATATATATTAATATTAATTAATTAATTAAAATTTTTATATGGCAGCATCAGAAATAGGAAATGATAATGAATATGAAAGAAAAAATGAAGATTTTAAAGTAGATTTAGAAGGTATTTATCAGGATCAAACAAGACGAAATTTAACAACAGAAGTAAGAATTTTAAAATATATTTCATATAAATGCAGAATTTATTTACAGTAGAGTGTCGATTATCGGAATCAATTGGGGACTGGGGTTGTTCGTATAACTGATATTTCGGATAACCGATTTATGTATGAAAAAATAGTTTAACGTATCCGATGTTGAAATTTTTCTCCGTTGCGTGTTGCTTTGCGTTGAATTTTTGTCAATGTTAAGCCTAATGACGACTATTGTATCGTTAAAAATTATTTTTTTATTTTATACGAACAAAATAAATATATTGAAAAATATAAAAACAATAAAAAATTATACTTCAGAAGTTAATTTAGTATCAAAAACGTAAAATATTTGAATAGCCCAAGACATAGCCAAAAATTGCAGCGCCACAGCACTGGCAAAAATTTAAATTTGCCGACTGGAATTCTTTCGGATGATTGACTTTCAGATAATCGACGCTCTACTGTATTTTTAAAACTATAAAATTTAGTTATATTTAACATAGTTTTAAATTTAGTTGAATGCAGTGTTGTGTATTATTATTGTTATAACTTTTTTCCCCAAATGATTCCACTAAGTCTAGCAAACATCAACATTGTGCCAAAGTTGCATTTTCATTTATTTTACAAATAAAGAGCTGTATCTTAAACTCTGCTGCTAGATCAGTGACAGAATTTATTAAAGCCTTGTGTGTTAAATAAATACTAAAATTATATACAGTGGGTGATTGGTTAACGAACATAATCCGTTCCAAGACTTTGTTCGTTGTCCAAATTGTTCGTTAACCGATTATTGATTTACCATAGGTTTTAACGAGAATTTAATTAATTAATTCCGGAGACCCTCAAAAATAAAAAATATATACTTTCTTACTACGTTTATTCATATGTAATAATAAAAATACATATATACACAGTCTTGCATTTTTATTAGTTATATTTTTCCCATTTGTAGTTGTTAAAGAATCTGTCCAATGTCAATTACTTTTCTCTTTTCTTCAGGATTTTTTCTAAATAATTGCAATTGTAGAATTTCCCAAGCCACAACCTGGTTTGGATGCCATTCTAAGACCATTGTTCTGACATCCTCCCACTTCTTCAAAGGATCTTTAATAACAGATATCGGCATTAATCCTCTTTTTTAGAAGAAAACATATCTCACCAAGTTTCTTGGTGTTCTTCATTCAAGAGTTCTTCGCGTTCTTCTGTCGGCAGATCCGTTTCAGGTTCCATTATGAACTCTTCGATGTTCTTTATTTCTCAGATGTAATTTTTGTTACTCCTTTAGCTGTTTGAGTCTTCTTGATTATACGGTATTTTTCTTAAATAAGATTGAACTGCGGCCTACTGTAGACCTGTTTACTCCATACTGCCCAGCAACATTTGGCATCTTCTGCCCACTCTCTACCTTTGTAATTATACTCTCACCTTTCGAAAAGAAAAACAGATGCAAAACTTAACTAGTGCCTACCCAACAGTCTCGCGAATACATAAAAGAATTGTTTTGTCAGAAAAATAAACAGCTGGAATTACAAGGGAGAGTTTCAGAGTTCAGAGGAATACTATCCGATCGGTACATACCGGCTTGAGCGTTGATGTCGACGTCTCCCACACTCCGAAAATTTTTGAATTGTTGTCCGAATACAAGGGAAGACAAATCGGTATTCATTATTTTACGTCACTTCTTCTTGTGTTTGTTCTGTGGGGTGTTCGTTATCCGATTATGTGTTCATTGTCCGAACATGAAAATCTTTCGCAAAAGTGTTCGTTATCCGATTTGTTCGTTAACCGGTCACCCACTGTATTTAAAGTATTAGATTTTTTCATAATGGTAATATTGTTAATATAATAATCATGCATTTAGATTAAAATATTATTAATGTAATAATTAATCAACCATATGCAATGTAATTAGGTATGGAATTTTGGAGTTATTTTTAATACAATAAAATTTTATTGACTATCCAAATAAGATTATTCTACTAAAACTGTAGATTCTTATAAAAGAAAAAGTTTAATTTGTAGAGGAACAACAAATATGTAGAAATTTTGAACTAATTTTATAATTTGAATAAATTCAAGAATATTTTATAAATTTTTTTATGTATAATAATAACATTAAATATTTAAAATACTGAAAATTTACTGTTTCAAAATTGAACTTGAAGTTGTTTAAGTATAAATTATCAATTTCATCGATAAATAAGAATATCATTTAAGTTTTATTTGAAATAAATATGTAATTTTGTATTGTTGGATTCAATACATTTAAATTCCATTACAAGTTATCATACTAAAAATATTCCATAAAAATAAATAATTCATATTTCATATAAGGTGAACTTTTATAATCATAAAATTTAATTGAAATTAACATTAATAATATAAAAATTATAATTTGACTATTATTGTTTGTTTATAATAGTATTTTTTAAAAACAAAGATTCCTTCTGTAAATTCAGCTGATTCTTGATTTTGTTGAATGACTGATCTTTTATATTCATGAAAATGCTGTAAAATTACTGCAAGATATTTCAAAATTAAAATTATAGAGAGAATGAAAAGTAATTAAAAATAAATATTCTTTTTGCAGAATATGAAATTTATTTTAGTAAAAAATCTAAAAGGTGATTTCTAAACAATTTAAAAAAAAAACAAATTAAGTTATGAAATACCTGATTTAATGAAAGCATTTAGCTAAAATTTTCTTTTCCATATTATTTTAACACTAGTAGATGGATAATAATTATTTTCATTGTGATTACTTTGTTAGATGTCATTCATAGAGTGGAGGAAAATACAGTAGAGCCTCGATTATCTGACCCCCTATCAACCGACCCCGCGGTTAACCGACCGTCCTAGTCGGCAAATTTCAAATGTCAGCTATTGATGTGGCGCTACAATATTTGGCTATGTCTAGGCTACTTTAATATTATTTTTACGTGTTTTAGCTGGCAACACTGGATCGACCATGAAAGGGAGCCAGTATTTAAACGAGGCTTAACTTTCTAATTTTTAACGATACAATAGCGATGATTATTATTTTAAAAAATTTTTGTTAGGCTTAACATCGATGAAAATTCAACGCAAAGTAGGTTAATAGCGATATACTAATATACTAAATACATGGGATATAATAATATACTACACTAATAATAGATTTTTTCATACTTTTCGGTTATCCGCCCTTTCAATTATCCGACCAACCCCAGTTCCCAATTAGGTCGGATAATCGAGGCTCTACTGTACATTGAAAAAGTATAATGCAAATTTTTACCCAAAATCTTTAAAATTATATATTAGCATTTTGTAAATTTAATTTTATCCTTCATAAATATTCTTTTTAGTTGTTAATACAGACAATTTCTGGAAGAACGTACTATGCCAGATAATTATCAAAACATAACAACTTGAAGACTTGTACAACTGAATTGTTTGCAATTTAAAAGTTTTTCAAATTATCATCATCGAAAAATCCTATTACCTAATCACAGGATAATCTTGAAATAAACTGCTATTATTAATAACAAGTAAATACCAATAAATAATAATTAAATATTAATTAAATATTTTATTTTTGTGTTGAATTATATTTTAAATATTATTTCATCTATAAACATCTCAAAGCCCAATGTTTTAATAATAAACTAAACAATTTGTAATATTTATTCAATTACAGAAATTGTTTGGCTTATTGTTGTTATTTCTTTATTTTAATGAAATCTTTTTAAAATCAAAAATAGTCAATGAAACTTTGTGCAATATTGTATTATATAACTGTTTTAATTAATTTATAAGTAATCAAACTGTTTAAAAAAATATAGGTATACATATAGATATGTTACAGAAAAGCCTATTGTTAGGAAATGAAAGATGTTGAAATACTTTTAGTATTGTTGAAAAACTGTTATATCAGTGTTTATCACTCAGTCTACTCTTAGTCATTGCAGATATTAAATATCTATTATTTATCCTTGTATAAATCTGTTGCTTAGACAAATCATTATTGTAACTGTATAAATTTGTAAGGAATCAAATTAAATTCTAACTAGCTTTTACAGTTTGATTTAAAACACTAAATTGTACTCAAATTATATCAATAATACTTTATTAAAATACGCACAATTACTGTCAAATTTATAAGATAGTGACTCTAATAAATTTAAAAAAATTGTATCAAATATTTTTGAATTTTATGATTACACAGTATTATTACTATTAATGTTTGTGAATTATTATGTACTAAGGAAGCTTTTCTCCCTGCTTGCTTGCCCTTTGGACTTTGTCCATTTATTCAAAAATTTTGTGATGATTTATCAGTTCCTGGTGTGTCATATTTTTTTTTTTTTTTTTTTGTAATGGAAAAATGAGATAATTTTAAGTTAAGTATTTTACATATATAGAATAGATAAGTATTATTTTCAGTGCTCAATTTATTATGATAGTAATTTACAGAGAAAAGTCATACAAGATTATAATAATGTTATAAAGAGATAGAAATGGTGATGGGATGGTTAATCAAAATCAAGAATCAGAAAATTGGATATTTTCTGGGAATCTAAATTGAGAAAATCTCATCACAATTTTCGATTTTTCCGAATGATTCTTTCACATTTTATAAGAAAATTAATTATTTGTTTCAGTCAGATTAAAAATTTTGTAAATTATGATATTAACAATTAAATATTAGTTTATTGGATACTTTTATGTCAACAAACAGAGTACATAATGCCCCTATATATGAGGTGATGTCTGTTATGGCAGACTTTTCTTTCGTGTAGTCAGAGCAATGAGAGATTGCACTTGGTCAGTACTAACTGTCCCTATTTTAGGGGAGATAGGTGACTTTAGGGCTTCCATACGGCCAGCTTGATTAGCAGTCTGTATTCTGATTTCTTCCTTATCAATAATTAGATATTTGGATTTATCGTAGAAACTTACTCAAAACATCGTTAAAGATTGTTGATTTATAAGATGATTTGATCATCATCTATCTATTGGACCAGAGGTCAA